GTTGGGATTACAGGCATGCACCAATGTGCCAAGCCCCAAATGTATAGTTTTAACTAAGATAATATGACTGGTACATAGTTTGAGGCACTTCTTTAGATGAATTAAAACATATAATTTGTTGTTAAATGATGGATGTTTCAGTTCATCTAAATGATTAGCATTTATTGCATAAGTGCTGTAGACCAGATACTGATACGAGTCTTACATTCATTATCTTATTTAATGCTCACCATAGCCATATGAGGCAGGCACTAAAACTCCGTTTCCCAGAGGAATACACTAAGACTTAGAGAATTTAACATGCCCAAGGTCTTGTGGCTGGCAGACTTGTCCCAGATGTGTCAGACTTCTGCGTCCATGCTCCTAACACCCTACTCCTGCCTCTGGGCTGTGGATCCATGTTTCAGTTTTAATCTATAGGTTTGTTTCATTTGTCATTTTCTTATCATCACTTCCTATTTTTGGTATTCATTTTTGGCACTTTTATTCTCTTTCCTCTTTTTGGCATCGTGTATCAAGCATCAGGTATTATACACCATGCAGTGTTCCAGGTATTCTAAATACGTTACCTTACGACAACCCTATCCATAGGTTTTATTGTCTTATTCAAAGCAAGGGGATACTGGATTTCAGAGAGGGTAAGTCATCTCCCTAACATCACAGTGGTAAGTGCTAGAGCCAAGCTCTTGAACATGGAGTGGAGAGTATTCTCCGAGATTCAACCAGAATCTGTCCGTAAAAGATTGATGTGGTTGGAGGAATGGATTCAGAAGACCACTGGTTAATGGTACCACCACTGGAAGAGCTCCAGGAAATGGGGTAGTTAGTATGTGTGGTCTGGAAAGGGATCCAGAAAGTGCTATACACCTGGATAATCCCCCTGGGTCCTGGGGCCAGTCAGGGTTCTCCTGGTCTGGTCTTTACTGTGGCCTGCCAGAGCTTCTCCTAGAATTTCCTCATGTACAGCGAGTAGTCTAGACTCTGGTCAGCTGCTATGGTGTTAGACGTTATAGTAGATACAAGAAGTTCTCCGGGTGGCAGCCAGAGGAGCTTGGTGTAAATCCAGCAGTCCCACTGGCCAGTTTGATGGTAGATGGAGAGCAAATTGGACACTTTTCAAATATGCAGATTGTCTGGGCATGGCGGCTCACACTTGTAATCCCAGTGTTTAGGGAGGCCAAGGCGGGAACATCCCTTCAGGCCAGGAGCTCAAGGCCAGCCTGGGCAACATAGCAAGACCTTGTCTCTACAAAAAAATTTAAGAAAATAAGCTGAGTGTGCCTGTGTGCTCCTGTATCTCCAGCTACTTGGGAGGCTGAGGTGGGAGGCTCACTTGAGCCCAGAAGTTTGAGGCTGCAGTGAGCTATGATTGTACCACTGCACTCCAGCCTAGGCAACAGAGGGAGATCCTATCTCTTGAAAAATAACATAGATGGCTGGACACGGTGGCTCACACCTATGATCCCAGCATTTTGGGAGGCCAAGGTGGGTGGATCACCTGAGTTCGGGAGTTCGAGACCATTCTGACCAACACGGAGAAACCCTATCTCTACTAAAAATACAAAATTAGCTGGGCATGGTGGTGCATGTCTGCAGTCCCAGCTACTCAGGAGGGTGAGGCAGGAGAATTGCAACCAGGGAGGCAGAGGTTGTAGTGAGCTGAGATCGTGCCATTGCACTCCAGCCTGGGCAACAAGAGTGAAACTTGCCCTCAAAAAGTAAAAGTATTTTAAAATTTAAAAAAATTTAAAAACAACATAGATGATATATACCATGTGGCCATCAGTCAGCCAATGGATATGACACATTGGAATCTCCAGAACCTTGAACAGTGGTAGTCTTTACACAAGGAGACAAACTGAGAGCTCAGGCTGGAGTTCAGCTTTTCAGGCAGTCAGAGGATGGAGACTGTGTCATCCATTCATTCAACATTTTTGAGCACTTACCATATTCCAGATCTACATTCTGGGCACTGAGAGATTCAACAATGAATCAGAAAAAGTCTCTGCCAGAAGGAGCTCATGTTCCGACAGAACACACCCAAGCACTCACACATCATCCAGGGGTAAAACATGCTCTGAAGGTCAGGGAAGGCCTCTCTGCAGAGGTAACATTGCACGGAGACTTGAGAGAAGTAGAGGACAGTCTTGTGGAAATCTAGAGGAAGCGTGTTGCAGGCAAGAGGAGGTGTAAATGCAAAGCTCGGGAGGGAGGGGCATGATTGGCAGATAGAAGGACACACAAGAGAACAGTGGCTGAAGCTGGGGGAAGAGGAAGAGTGTCAGGGATGAGTCAGACAGGTAATCCCTGGTGAGCCACAGTGAGGACTCTGGTCTTTACTCGGAGTAAAATGATAAGCCCTTGAAAAAAATCTCAGCAGAAGGCTGCCATGATAGGATGTCCTTTGTTTGTTTTTATTGTTTGACAGACAAGGTCTTGCTCTGTCACCCAGGCTGGAGTGCAGTGGCATAGTCATAGCTTACTGCAGCCTCGAACTCCTGGGCTCAAGTAATCCTCCCACCTTGGCCTCCTGAGTAGCTCTGACTATAGGCATGGACCTCGCCTGGCTGATTTTTTCATTTTTTGCCGAGACAGGATCTTGCTGTGTTGCCCAGGCTGATCTCTAACTTACGGCCTCAAGAGGTCTTCCCGCCTCGGCCTCCCAAAGTGCTGGGATTACAGGAATGAGCCATGTACCTTGCTATGATGTGCATTTTTAAAGGAGCATGTCCACTTCCATATGGAGGGGCTGCAAAGTGGAAGCGGGGAGACAAGTGGAGAGGCTACTGGGACAGTCCTGGGAGAAATGATGGTGGTAAGAGACTAGATAAATTTCCAGGGAATTGAAGATACAATTATCTAGTGGGTTGCCTGAGGGGAGTGAAACAAAGGAATCAGTGACACCTTCAAGATTTTGGTCTGAGTACTGCAAGTATGGATGCCCTTTAATAAAACAGGTAAGAGATACATTTGGTGAGAAATAGCATGCATTTGGTTTGCCTGGCATTCCAGAACCCAGAACTGTACTATACGTTCCACTGCCAGAAAATGGACACAGGGAAACTGGCTTTGAGTCCTGCCTGAGGAGGAGGGTGGAAAGCGGGGAATGTCACAGCACACAGTGGAGCAGGAGGGGGTCTAAGACAGCAGCAAACAGATCAGGCCGAGTGAGCGAGGGGATGGAAGGGACAGGTGCCTTCCCAAGGAGCCTGCATGGGAGCCTTGGGGAGGATAGAGAGCTGCAAGGGGCACCAGGAATTTGGGAAAGGAGGTCAGAGGCTGGGAGCAGTCAGCAAGGCCTCCAGGAAGAAGTAGGTTGTGACCTGGGCTTCTGAGTTTAGAATACAGAGGTAGAGGAGGAAAGCAGGGGGCGGGCGGGGGAAGAGAAGGAAGGGGTGCACAGCAAATGAATGAATGAAACCCAGAGCTGGGAAGGATCCTATTTTGACTGCAAACCATTCTGAAGGCAGGAAACAAAGGTGTAGGAAGTTGGGCTGGAAAATTTGGGCGGGTCTGCATTGTAAAAGTCCTGGGAAGCTCAAAGCTGGACAGAGGAGTCAAAGTGTGTGGGAGTGAGTAAAAAATGGGAAACTGAGGCCAGGTGTGGTGGCTAACACCTATAATTCCAGCACTTTGGGAGGCTAAGGCAGGCAGAAGCCTTGAGTTGAAGAGTTCAAGACCAGCCTGGGCAACCTGGCAAAACCTCATCTCTACAAAAAACACATAAAAATTAGCTGGGCATGGCAGCGCACACCTGTGGTCCCAGCTACTCAGGGGACTGAGGCCTGAGGATCACTTGAAACTGGGAGCCGGGGTTTCAGTGAGCGGAGCTCTCACCACCGTACTCCAGCCTGGGTGACAGTGTGGGACCCTGTCCCAGAAATAACAAAATTTTTTTTTTAAATAAAAGGGAAATTGTATACAACTCGAGTAGGATTTGAGTGTGCATCACTTCATTGTTGCATCTTTTCTTGATGTTCTGAAAGTAAAAGTAACTCCACCTTCACCTTCCTCTTCTCTTCCACCTCTTTACTATTCTGACTATAAAACTAGCACATCAAGTCCTAAGCAAGAAGGAGACTTGCTGTCAGTCCATCTACTACGTGAATAGGCCAATTTTCTGGACCACCAGTTTCTAATAGGATAGCTGAAGTGTGCAACATAATACATCCTTTTAAAGTGTTTACTATAACGACTGGACCACTCAAAAGTTTGGGTCTACTCTGATCCCAGGAGCTATGTACTTTTAATAGGAAATCTTTTCCAGGCAGATGAGGCATTTACAATGAATAGAAATTTAATAGTATGTAACATAGTAGTGATACTGTATTATTTTAGAATTACAAATATGTTGTTTACAATAATATATTCATGATAATTATTTAATTTGGAGATAAATTATATATTAACATATGCACTCATAAATAATACTATCGGATTAGCTATAAAACACTGACTTCATATTTTTATTGTACGATAGGCCAGGTGTGGTGACTCACACCTGTAATCCCAGCACTTAGGGAGTCTGGGGCGAATCACTTGAGGTCAGGAGTTCAAGATCAGCCTGGCCAACATGGTAAAAACCTGTCTCCACTGAAAATACAAAAATTAGCTAAGTGTGGTGGCGTGTGCCTGTAGTCCCAGCTACTGGGGAGGCCAAGGCAGGAGAATCGCTTAGACCTGGGAGGCAGAGGTTGCAGTGAGCTGAGATCGCCCCACTGTACTGCAGCCTCAGTGACAGAGAAAGACTCTATCTCAAAGTCTCAAAGAAAACAAACAAACAAACAAAAACAAATATTGTATGATGCCCGTCGTTGGGAATTGAGTGCTCTGTTCGTTTTAGTACTAAGCCTCATATCAGGTTGTGGAAACAAATAACCTTGTCTCACTAAACTTTTCATAGGTTGAGGGGATTCTGTTTACAAATGATATTCTTTTGTTATGTTTTTAACATAAATTTCTGATGAAAAATACCATAACCAAAATAATTTGATTTGCAGATTATGGATGACTGGCCGGGGTATGACTTGAATTTATTCACGTACCCACAGCACTATTACGGAGACTTGGAATACGTCCTCATACCTCATGGCATCATTGTGGACAGGTGAGTGTGATTTCCTGTTTCAGTCTTGGTCCTGTACTGGGCTGGCCCACTCTTGCATGAATCCTGCAATGTAGTTTAGAACCCTATTGCTGAGCTGCTTTTTATAGTGGTAGAGAGAATTTTATATAGGGCGGTGAATTTGAAATAAAATGAATTTATGCTTAAACTGAACGATTTACCTGTACATTTGTTCAGGTGGTACGGTAATATGGTAAGGAGGCTAGACATGCATAAGCTATTGTAAGTAACAGCCTCAAAATAACAATGTTGTAAGACAGCTTTTCCGTGGCATAGAAGTCCCGCCCTCACAGAGGGGGACCAGTTCCATGATCAAATAAACTTTGGAAATTTTGTATCTCCCATATTTTTGTCTTTCAGTTGACAAATCAAAGCAAACATTAGCATATCACAAATATGGAAATTCCAGCCAAAAAAAAAAAGAACAAAGGAAAGAAACCTGCTTGACTTTAACAATTAATCCAGCCTTTTTTTGTGCAAAGGGAGACTTTGTATTCAGTTTACCTATTCATAACTCTCAGAAGAGATTTCCCTTAACAGTTTTCCCAGTTTGGGAAGCTCCTAATTTAAACAAATTCTTGCATTTCTTACTTGAACTTTCTAATTTTAAATTAATTTAAAATCAGTCGGAACATGATTGACTCTAGAGTAGGGTTACCCCAAGCCTTTTCTCTATGCAAGAGAATCATCCAGTGAACTTTTAAAAATGCATATTCTTAAGCTTTATGTCTAGAAATTTCAAATTGATATTCTGGGGTGGGGCCCAAGAATGTCCATCTTCACCTTTAAAGTAAATTTATTAGCTCGGGGCTATGGCATGCAACTGTAATCCAGGCTACTCCAGAGGCTAAAGTGGGGAGATCACTTGAGTCCAAAAATTTGAGATTAGCCTGGACAATACAGTGAGATCTTGTCTCAAAAAAAAAAAAAATTTTAAGATGTAATTTACAGGGCTGGATACAGTGGCTCATTCTGGTAATCCCAGCACTTTGGGAGGCTGAGGCAAGAGTATCATTTGAGTCAGGAGTTTGAGACCAGTCTGGGCAATGTAGTGAGACCCCATCTCTATAAAAAACTAAAAAACATTAATCAGGTATAGTAGCACGTGCCTGTAGTCCCAGCTACTAGGGAGGCTGAGGCGAGAGGATCACTTGAGTCTGGGAGGTCAAGGCTACAGTGAGCCATGATCATACCACTGCCCTCTAGCCTGGTGAACAGAGCGAGATCTTGTCACACACACACACACACACACACACACACACACACACACACACACACACACAGAGATTAATTTATATGCTACTGTAGAAAATTCACCTATTGCAGGTGAACGACTAAATGATTTTTAGTAAATTTTTACGGTCAGGCAGCCACCAGCGCCATCCAGTTTTACAACATTTCCGTCATTCCCAAAAGTTTGTTTGCTTCCACTTCCAGCATCGTTCTCTATAAATTTGTCTTTACTGGCCATTTTGTGTAAAGGAAATTATACAATACCTAATTATTCACTGCTGCATATTTAGATGTCCCATTTTTGGCTGTTGTGGAAATGCTTCAATAAACGGTTTCTGTGAATGTGTTTGTGTGGACATATCTTTTCATTTCTCTTGGATGGATTTCTCAACTTGAAATTTTGGGTTTTCTGGTAAGTGTAAGAAACTGCCAGTTATTTTCCAAAGTGATTGCACCTTGTTACATTGCCACCAGCAGTGTATGGTGGTTCCAAGTCTTCTACATACTTGCCAACATTTAATACTGTCTGTCCTTTTGATTACAGCTATTTTTGTGGCTAATGGTATCTCATTATGGTTTTAATTTTTATTTTCCTAATCATTAGTACACCTGTTAGCGGTTTACGTGTCTTCTTTGGAGAGAGGTCTTTTCAAGTCTTTTACCAATTTTTAAATTCAATTATTTGTCTTCTTATTGAAATGTAAGAGTTCTTTATATATTTTGGATAATAGTCCTTTATCAGATATATGATTTGCAAATATTTTCTCCCAGCCTATGGCTTGTCTTATTATTTTCTTACTGGTATCCTTTAAGAAGAATGTGTATCCTGCTGTTGTGGGATGAAGTATTGTATATGTGTTAATTAGATCCAGTCGGTTGATGGTGCTTCTCAGTTCAACTATAAACTTATTATCTATTGGTTCTGTCAACTACTAATAGAGGGTATGTTAAAGTCTCCAAATTGTGGAGTTGCCTGTTTCTCCTTGCAGTTCTATTAGGTTTTTGACACTTTGTTTTCAGGAGTATACACATTAGAAATTATTATGTCTCTTTGGAGAGTTGACCTCCTTATTATTGTGTAATGCTCTTTCTTCCTGATAATATTCCTTACTCAGAAGTCTGTATGTCTGAAAGTAAAATAGCTACTCCAACTTTCTTTTGATTAGTGTTAGCATGGCATGTCTTTCTTCTCCATCCCTTTACTTTTAATCTGTGTCTTTATATCTAAAGTGAGTTTTTGTTTTGTTTTGTTTTTGAGACAGAGTCTCACTCTGTCACCTAGGCTGTAGTGCAGTGGCATAATCTCAGCTCACTGCAACCTCCAACTGCTGGGTTCAAGTGATCCTCTTGCCTCAGCCTCCCAAGTAGCTGGGATTACAAGCATGCACCACCACACCTGGCTAATTTTTTATATTTTTAGTAGAGATGGGGTTTCACCATGTTAGCCAGGCTGGTCTCGAATTCCTGACCTCAAGTGATCCGGCTGCCAAAGTGCTGGGATTACAGGTGTGAGCTATAAAGTGAGTTTTTTACAGGCAATATACAGTTAGGTCTTTTTAAAATCCACCCTGACAGTCTGTCTTTTAATGCTATTTAAATTCATATTTAAAGTGATAATTGATATAATCAGTTTAGTATCTATCGTATTTATAACTATTTTCTATTTACTGCCGTTGTTCTTTGTTTCCTTTTTCTGTATTCCACTCTGTGAAATTCCTTTTTTTTTTTTTTTTTTTTCTTAATCTTAGTCTTCTCAAGGGAATGACTTGGTGAAATTACTGATAGAATTTACCTGTGTTTGATGTCCTTGCTCAGGTGAGGTCTTGTGGCCCAGGCTGGAGTGCAATGGCCCAGTCTTCATTCACTGCAACCTCCACCTCCCAGGTTCAAGTGATTCTCCTGCCTCAGCCTCCCAAGTAGCTGGGATTACAGGCGTCCACCACCATGCCTGGCCGATTTTTGTATTTTTAGTAGAGACAGGGTTTCACCATGTTGGCCAGGCTGGTCTTGAACTCCTGACCTTAAAAGATTCACCCACCTCACTGTATGACTTCTGATGTCTGTAAGGTTTATTTTTCTCTAGTTTTTATTTTTAAGCCTCACTTACTAGGTATCACCCAGTGTCTGACCAGCTTAGTGTTCAGTCTACATTTGGTTAGACGTTGTGCTTAAACACTTCAAGCCAATAAATCTTCCACTCTCTGCTCATGGGGGTGTGTGGGGACTTGAAAGTAGATTCAAATTTCCAACGATTTTCAAATCTTTCTGGCTTCTACTTTCCTCTGAGCTTTCTTGTGTCTTCTCTGCACGTGTACATAGCCTCCGTTGTCCAGGGATATGTGAGTGGCTTGAACTCACTCTGTTGTGCATATGTGCAGTCTCTGGTCAACTTGAGATGCATGAAGAACTTACTGTGTGCCCCTGTTCTATGACTGTCTAACCTCCCTGGAACTTCCTATCAAATCCCCAGCCAGCCGACCAGTGCATTGCTAAAAGGGGCCTGCACCTCAGGATAATGGAATCCTGCCACCAATGTGACCATTTTAACTTACAATGTTCCCAATCAGGTGAGCTCCCCCTGGCAGTGCTCCACCTTGGTGGAACTACCTGTTTGAACAACAGAGGTGGGGATGGGGGGGGTGATGGGCGCATCCACACACAAGAATGCCCCAGACTCATGCTGTTTCCGCCCAGTGTTCAGTGCTTTTATAATCAAATGCTTCTCAGTTTGTTGTATGCCTTTGGTTGATTTCCAGTGTGATGAGATGGTTGTTTTTGGCAGTTTTGCCCAGTTTTATAGTTGCTTTTCAGGAGAGGATATGTTGACATCATTATTTCCTCACACTGGAAACAAATGTTCTTTTTTTTTTTTTTAGACAGAACCTTGCTCTGTCGCGCAAGCTGGAGTGCAGTTGCACAATCTTGGCTCACTGCAACCTCCATCTCCCAGGTTCAAACTGTTCTTCTGCCTCAGCCTTCTGAGTACCTGGGATTACAGGCACCCACCACCATGCCTGGCTAATTTTTGTATTTTTAGTAGAGACCGGGTTTTGCCATCTTGGCCAGGCTGGTCTCAAACTCCTGATCTCATGTGTTCCACCCGCCTCGGCCTCCCAAAATTCTGGGATTACAGGCATGAGCCACCACTCTTGGCCCAAATGTTCCCTCTTAAGGAACAAGCCAGATATTCTGATGTACATTTTTTATGATCATCTTTTGAGAAATGTTGCCTAAAACCATGGTTACCATTTTTTATGGCTATGTGTATGTATATACACATATATGTAAAATACATTATGTATGTATATTATATGTAATATTTACATATGTATTTGTGTGTGCACATGTACATATACAAATATATGATTTAGTTAATCCATTTTACATCTAATTCTATTTGAAGTGCTAATGGGGATTGTTTTTTTTAAGTATATGCCTTAGATCCTGCCCCCATTTAAGATTTTAATGCTGTGGCTAGGCATGGTGGCTCACACTTGCAATCCCAGCAATTTGGGAGGCCGAGGCCAGTAGGATTTCAAGTCCAACCTGACCAACATGGTGAAACCCAATCTCTACTAAAAACACAAAAAACTAGCTGGGTGGGTGTGGTGGCAGGCACCTGTAATCCCAGCTACTCAGGAAGCTGAGGCAGGAGAATCACTTGAACTCTGGCGGGGTGGAGGTTGTGGTGAGCCTAGATCATGCCATTGCACTTCAGCCTGGGCAACAAGAGCAAAACTCAAAAAAAAAAAAAAAAAAAAGATTTTAATGTTGTATGGTGGTTGGGCAATGGACTTAGAGACATGAAACAACGGGAAAAAATACAAGACGGTTCTGAATGAGGTATCAGGTGGAAGTCGCAGGCTGCCGGGAGATCACATGCACAACTCCGGGGGGCGTCCTTCACTTTGGGTTCCATGGAAACACTGCCTCCTACAATTGAACTCTGGGGCACCTTTCACGTGGGCAATGTGAACTATAACATAATGTTATTTGTCAAATATAAAATACATGTTATTCTTTTGATATTACTGTAGGCTTGACTTTTCCTTCTGTCTCTTTTAATGTTGTAAAGTGGGTGACTCACTCTCCATTTCCTTTTTCTCTGCTCTAGAGTGAGTGTAATATCACCAGATACCATCATAACCTCGTTAAGGGTTAATAACCGAGCTCTATAGTGATAAAATAATAACAATCAGGACTTTTGACATTCTATTTTACACCTTAATAATTTTTGTGGCATTGAGGACCACATACCATTGATGATGTGGTCCCCAATGTCTTTCAGGAATATGTTTTAGACCAGGCATGGTAGCTCATGCCTGTAATCTCAGCATTTTGAGAGGCCGAGGTAGGTGGATCACCTGAGGTCAGGAGTTCAAGACCAGCCTGGCCAACATGGAGAAACCCATCTCTACTAAAAACAGAAAAATTAGTGGGGCATGGTACAGGTACCTGTAATCCCAACTAGACTTGGGAGGCTGAAACAGGAGAATCACTTGAACCCAGAAGGTGGAGGTTGCAGTGAGCTGAGATTGTGCCACTGCACTCCAGCCTGGGCGACCGATCCAGACTCTGTCTTTAAAAAAAAAAAAAAGTATTTGAACACCTTCTGTTCAACCTTAACAAAGCTTTTCTATCTGTGGGTTTCTGTTTACCAAGCTTTTCTCCATATTCCCCTGAGTAATTGAACATGTATAATACACCATGCATTTTTATTAAAGCAACACAAATACTCAGAAGTAGTTGTGCCTTAATGTATCTTTTATCCTTGACTTCTTCAGAATTGAGCGGCTGGCTAAGGATATTATGAAAGACATAGGATACAGTGACGTCATGGTCCTGTGTGTGCTTAAAGGAGGCTACAAATTCTGTGCTGATCTCGTAGAACACCTTAAGAACATCAGCCAAAATTCAGATCGTTTTGTCTCTATGAAAGTTGACTTCATCAGACTAAAAAGTTACAGGGTAAGTTATTACAAGTTCCATTTTATGATATTTTGATTTAATAACAATGCTTTTGAATAAAAGAATCAATAATGTTATGAAAATGAAGAGTACAATTTTTAAAAATTGAGATAAAAAAGAAGGGTACTTTTTTTTAATTTGCAAGAATACTGCAACCTACTGTAAGAATTCAAATGATATTATTTAGGGTGTGGGGTGGGGACTCTCTCTATATTTTCACATATATGGGAAGACTGCAGTAATGATTTGTGCTTTCTTTTATGGTGATAAATCTAGTTGGTTATCTCCTGGTGCCCAGCCCCACAACTGAGTGTGGTCAGAGTATGAACACTGATTTGTTGTTTCTACTCTGGATGTCACTGTTGGTCCTGGGGACCTGTGGGAGAGTGTCCAGGCCACAGAGGAGTCTTAGTTCTTGGGTGGCTGCAACCATGGCCTGGAAGTGAAGGAAAAGCTATGGGGACAGCACATTGCCACGTGTGAGGAAACATAAGCCAGGGAGCTCCAGCAGAAGGCCCCTCCACCAGTTTACCCCATTAATTCTGGCTCGCTGTGGCCACCACTGGGCAGAATTAATGGGATTATTCTCCAAAGATGTTTCCTAACCAGATGCAATGGCTCATGCCTATAATCCTAACACTTTGGGAGCCAAGGCAGAAGGATTCCCTAGGGCTGGGAGTTCGAGAGCAGCCTAGGCAACATATGAGACACTATCTATACAAAAAGAAAAAATTTTTAATTAGCTGAGTGTGGTAGTGTATGCCTATAGTCCAGGTACTCAAGAGGCTGAAGTTGGAGGATTGCTTGAGCCCAGGAGATGGAGGCTGCAGTGAGCTATGATGGCACCATTGCACTCCAGCCTGGATGACAATGAAACTCTGTC